CATTGTGACTTGGGGCATAAACCTAGAGTAAACAAGGGCCCAGCATGAGGAGTGTGCTCAACTTCTTAAACTGGGGGGTGCCACCCCATAGAAGGGCTTTGCAAAAGCTCTGTTTTAAAATCAATGATGATTTATGATGAGTCAATGTTTGTTATGCATCCTAATTATAGATACACCCAGGCTTGTGTGACAATTTCTCTGATGAAAAGGGGTCTTAAGTGGAAAACACGTAAACAACCCTGATACCAAGGACGGTCACCACATGGGGACACCTCCCTGCATTCCGTGGCCACCACTTGACTCAGGCAGCTAATGAAGTTATTGAGGTTAAGGTCCTGGACACTACCAGGCTAGGGGAGCCTCCATGTGGCATCTGGGAGCACCCTGCAGTCTACGTGGGCCAGCCCAGAGAGGGTTTGTTAGAGCAACGGACCCCTGAATAGGTGGAGCTGGACCCCACTGCTATTCCCATTCCTGGGGCGATTATTAAAAGCATGGGCTCCTGCTGCCCAGGAGTGCCACCCTCTTACACAACTTCCAAGCTGTTCCAGGTATTCTTGTGGGAAATTCAGCCTTTCTTCTCCATTGGGCAGCATTGAAGCCCTAGCCAGAGATTTTAGAGGATACCAGGCTCACTCCATCAGCATTTCTATTTCATAGCTGACCATGAAGGTAATTTGGCCAAAGACTTCACTGCAGTGGAGTGAGGGATCCAGGCAGAATCCTGAGCAGAGAGGATGAGACACATGACACCCAGGGTGGGCACTCAAGTCAGCAGTGCTGGAGAAGCCTTCAGGTACATCGTCTTGGGGTACCTTGGGAAAGTGCTCCTTCTGGTTACATGCGTGCCCCACCTCAGATGGACAGAGAGAACCAGAGAGGAAGGGAGAGGGTGTGGATGCCACCCAAATGTCAGGAAGCATGGGACTTTTATTATGTCCTGATTAAATGTAGGCTCCTGAAAAGCATCTGAAACTTGACCCATTCACTTATGCTCTCCTCATCACAATCTCCCCCATATTTTTTCCCCTGGACCTCTTTTAGCTTCCAGAAAATCCCAACCTTCTTAAAAGTTTGAGCCTTTGGAGGCTTCTGCTGAGGCTAAAGGGAACCTTGGTGCCTTGATCTGGAAATTTCAGAAAGGCCCACATTCCATGTGCATTCCCTACTGTGGCTGCTCACTCCACGAACATTGAGTCACCTTGGGAGGAAGGGGTGCACTCCTGGGATGGCCACAGGAGTGAAGGCCTCAAAACCTGATGGCAAACCTGACTTCAAGTCCTCACTTCATTGGAGGCAACGTCTTTGCCAAACATGAGCTCTCACTCACCCCAGTGGGCAGACCCAGCTCTGGGGGTCACCCAGAAGCCTTTCCAGGCCAGGTACTCTGACCAGAACTGGAAATCTGACCTTCAAATAAAGGCTAAACATCAGCCTCTCAAAGACTTCTGTCAACTTGCTGAGCATTGAGGTTTATGTCCTTAATCATATTTTAGTTTAGCTGAACTGGTAAACTGCAGTGTGTTTCCTCAAAGCACAGTGTCAGGATGGGAGGCTGGAGGGCAGGGGATGGGAGACAGAGGAGGCCTTAAATTGAACAACCACAGGGAGGACACAAGGTTGATCCCACCTGGCTAATCCCCATGAGGAAGTGAAATGCCACAGCGAGTGGTGGCTGGCCCCAAAGACAAGTCTATATCCGATCTGGGCTTTCTGAGCCAGCAAGCCTTGGGAGGAGGGAGGCACAATCAGGTCTGCAGACCAAAACAAAACAAAACAAAACAAAACAAAACAAAACAAAACATTAGGGAACCTCTTCATCCTGGTTCTGAGTTCAGGATCCCACAGTGTTGGAACTATCACTGATTTCAAGTGCAAGGGAATGAGGCTGAATCTAAAGACCAGAGGACCCTGAGCTATGGGATTGTAGAGATGCTCCTTTCCTTCTAAGAGTATGCCAAGGTGAGGGGTGTGTGTGTGTTTATGTGTGTGTGTGCACATGCACGCATGTGTATGCACACATGGGCTGCTAGCTGTCCCAGGTGCTTCTTCTGGTGGAGGAAGGTGGACAGGCTGAAAGGCCATGAAATGCCAATATTAATTGGAGATATGCTTTGCACGGAGAGCCCATCGTTCTGCTTTAAATCTTAGGGGCGGGGGGGGGGTCTATTTCTCTGAAATCTGGGGGATGAAAGAAGAGATGAGAAAAAGAATCTTCCTGAAGAGTATTGAGAAGAATGGGTGCAGGCTAGGAAAAGGTAATACAATACAACTTTTAGCTACTACCTATTCCTTCACAACTCTGGGGACAGAGCAAGGGAACCTGAGTGTGAGTGTGTACTGCATGGATATCAAGACTGTTCTTGGGCATGTGCGTTGTGTTCTGTGTTACTTCTATGAATGACAGTTTTTTTATGTGCCTTGCATGAACACATTGAACTTATTCTATTTTGTATGCAGAAACAACAGTAAAATATCTGCATCTTTTTTGCATTTATGCCCAAGGTATAAATGCATCCATGAAGTTATATACCACATTATGTTCATGTAGGTCTTGTATTTTGTGTCTGATGGCAGACTGCCTCTATGTACAAGGTATAGGTAGGTCTCTGTGTATGTTCTGAGCTGAACATGCATATTTTGGATATAGGTATAATTATCTATTTTCTGGGCATGCCCGTCTCATTAAATTGGTCTCCTGTGTACTTTATCTATGTGCTGCATATTTGATATTGGTGCACGGTGACAGAATATCTATTTTGTGGTGGTAAAACATGCAGGCATGCCTGTGAACATTTTCTAGGCTCAGATCAAGACACTGAAATAAACTATCTACCCTTTGAGTAGAGTGTTTTGCTATCAATTTTCCAAAGGCCTGTGTCTTCCTCCCCCATGTCTTGGAAATTCAGCACCACCTTCCATGAAGGAGAAGAGAAACCAAGAGGCTTTGCACTGGGCCAGGATGCCCTGCAGACACAGGGGATGTGGGTGACCAGGAATTAATCAGCACCTGGGCCTTAGCACCCTGAGTGGTGCCCCACCCCACAAGGTAACTGTAGGTGCTAAATGGCCAACAGTGAGGGTAGGGCTGGAGTAACCACTGGGAAACTCTGTGTTGGGTTGGGAGTGGGGGGCGGGGAGTGAAATTTTAGCTATTTCACTGAAAGGCAAAGAAGCCCAGCTTGTGACGCAAATGCTTCCCCTCCTCATTCCCTCCCAGGGCCAGCCGCCCTCTACCTTTAGACTGTGTGTTGCTCATCCACTCAGCCTGCTCTGGGCCAAGGAAGGTTTCTTTACCCATCTTTGGTTCTCTTTGAACAGCTCTGCTTGCCAGTTCAACAGGGAGAGAGTTAGAGTCGGGCACTTGAAAGGATGCTTGGGGGTGACTTAGGAACTTCATTGTCTAGTCTTTGACATTCAGAAACTTCCACACAGAGGTCAGGCCCTGAACCTGGGTTCTCTAGAGCTTACTCCTTGGTGCCCTGCCACGTTGGCTCTTTTGGGAAAGATTGAGGAAAGGAACTGATGAAGAACCGATGATGATGATGCCAACCCAGAAGGGTGGGAAGAGGTGAGCATGGAGATGATTCACAGGATGCACTGGAGAGAGGAGGCTGGGCTTGGAGGGGGGAGGGTCTGGCCCAAGACAGTGGGAGCTGTGAGGGCCTTAGGCCCCTTGTGCACTCAGTAAGACAAGCTTCAGCTCTGGGGGACTGAAGCTGCAGCACATGGAGGGCAGAAAGACAATTCTAACATCTAGAATCCATGAAGACTGGAGTGTTTGAGGCAATGGCAGCAAACCCAGGCCCAGTAGGGTTACCCATGAAACCAATGAACTCACGAGGCCTCTGAGACAACCAACTCACAGAGCAGTGGATTTGCCCCCGAACCTGAACTCCAGAGAGTGAATATACATATGTATATGTATGTGTGTGTGCATACATAGAGAAACATATGCACACACGTAGGTATTATGTATCTGTGTATGTATATACATACACTCTAGTGCACATAGTCAAACACATGCATAAATTGCCCTGTGTCAAAAATATTGCATAAGCGTATACAAGGTTCAAATGCAATTATTTTTTTCCTACAGCTAGCTAGGTAGAGGGACTCGTGTAAGAGATACTCAATATATATATGTATATATATATATTTATTTATGTACACTGGATCCACAGATCCATTAGTTCTAAGGACCTGATGTCCTGGTCAGCTATACAGTTAAGCCCAAGTCTAGCTTCATCCCTAGATGCATTTCACTGAAGTGTTTAGACACTATTCTTCCTGCTCACTCTCCTGCCTAGGCAGAGGCCTGTGCTGCCTGTTTGGAAGAACAAGGATGGGGTAAGTTGGACGGCCAGAAGTTTTGGTTCCCCAGTCAAGATAGCCAAGATTTTTCTTTTTAATGAGAGCTTCTGCCACTCTGTGCAGGGGAACAAAACCCTAGTTCAGTGCCCTTCCCAGGCTATTAATACTCTAAATATGAATACTGTTAGGCTACTAATAAAAATAGGTTATCTCCTGTGTTTTATATATTGAGATTCATGCAACAAACACCCATGCAGCTCGATCGCATCACTGGGATTTCACTGCAGTGTCGGCTTTGCTGGGTGGCAGCGCTCGGGAAAACAGGTCTGTAAACTCCAACAGACACATGGGCCTCGGTTAGCCCAGAGCCCACAGAAATGGTCAACTCTGAAGTCAAGAGGCTCCTTGGTGGGTTTGCTTCTCTCCATTGGCCCAAGGGAGCCAATGTGAAACTTGACAACTCACATTTGGTCATATTAACTAGCTGTCCCTCCCCTGGGTTTCCCTCACAGAGACACTGCAGAGAAAAAAAAAAACCAATGCAGCATTTTCCGTTATGAAACACAAGCCTCTGGAGTAGCTACTTGGCAACGCCAATTCACAAACCCCAGCTTTGTGACATAAAAAGTAATTTCAACACGCAGGACTGTGTGTTCCTTTCAATGCCAAAAAAAAAAAAGGGGGATGACCTTTTGTAATTATTACCAGAGCTTGAGCGTGAAGCCACCATGGTTTTCCTCTGTGAAGCAGGGTGGTAGGTTGAAATGGGGTGGGGGTAGGGGGCGGGCCGTGAGGCACATCCGGGTGCTGTACGCATTGAACTAGGAAGGGAACGTGGCACTGATGTGGCAGGTTTCTGCACTGGATGTGAGGTGGCCCCAATCTATCTTTCTAAACTCCTGGCTCCACTGGTGACTCCCCTCTTTGAAAACCCCTAAGCCGGTGATGAAGATCTGCATGAAAGCCATGGTTGGATATTCTGTGTTCTAAATCAAAAATCAAAAGATCAAAAGTCACTTGCACGACTACTGCTTTCCATGCAAAACCAGATACACACTGTAGAACACGCTGACTAGAATGCAGGCTATTATGCAATATCTGCATTAGTTCCACTGGGCTGTGAGTATGTGAGCAGGTCTCAATCAGACATCCGTTAACATTTTGGTAATGTTCACATAGTTTGTATTAGCCAAGGTACAGTTGGCTGTTTTCAAGTTCTCCTCTCTAAAGTCCTCGCTACTGTTGTTCACCCCTTCCTGGATCTCCATGTAATCAGACTTACTAATGGTAGAGGCACTTCTACTTTTCTTTAGGTCAGGGGAGGAGGGGATCTTTGGACAGCTCGTCACCTGCAAGTACTGGGCCTGCTCCTCTCCCTCTGTCTCCCGATGGTAGAAATAGTTGAAATTGGACACAATGACGGGGACCGGTAAGGCAATGGTTAATACACCTGCAATTGCACACAAGGAACCCACAATCTTTCCCCCAATGGTAGTTGGAACCATGTCTCCATAGCCTACAGTTGTCATGGAGACGACTGCCCACCAGAAGGCATCCGGGATGCTGGGGAACTGGGAATCTCGCTCATCGGCCTCTGCGAAATAGACAGCACTAGAGAACAGGATGACCCCGATGAAGAGGAAGAAGATCAGGAGGCCCAACTCTCTCATGCTAGCTTTGAGGGTCTGACCTAGAATCTGGAGACCTTTGGAGTGTCTGGACAACTTGAAAATCCGAAAGACTCTTACCAAGCGGATGACACGGAGGATGGCCAGGGACATGGCCTGCTGGCCCTGCTGGGCATCTTCTGGCTTCTCAGCCAGCTCGGTGCCCAGGGTGATGAAGTAGGGGATGATGGCTACGATGTCGATGATGTTCATGATGTTGGTGAAGAAGCCGGCTTTGCTGGGACAGGCAAAGAACCTCACCAAGAATTCAAAGGAGAACCAGATGATGCAGAGGGTCTCAACGATGAAGAAAGGGTCGGTGAAGGACGTGGACTGCTGGTACCCCATGGTGCTGTTGGAATAGGTGTGGAATGTCACTCCACTGCTGTGCATGTCTTCATTCTCGTCCCGGAAGATGGGCAGTGTCTCTAGGCAGAAGCTGACGATGGAGATCAGGATGACCATGACAGACACGATTGCTATAATCCTGGCCGGCCCCGAGCTCTCGGGGTACTCGAAGAGCAGCCACACCTGTCTTTGAAACTCGTTCTCAGGCAGAGGTCGCTCTTCCTCTTTGATGTAGCCCTCATCTTCCCGAAACATCTCCATGGCCTCCTCGCCCAGCTCGTAGAAGCGGATCTCTTCGGAGAAGATGTCTAAGGGCACATTCACAGGACGCCGCAGGCGGCCCCCAGACTGGTAGTAGTACAAAATGGCATCGAAGCTGGGGCGGTTCCGGTCAAAGAAGTACTCATTTCGAAGGGGGTCAAAGTAGCGCATCCGCTTCTTTGGGTCCCCGAGGAGGGTCTCGGGGAACTGAGCAAGGGTCTTGAGCTGGGTTTCAAACCGCAGCCCTGAGATGTTGATCACTACTCTCTCACAACACTCGTGGTCTGCTTCGGGGTCGTAGGTGTCCTGAGGGTGCCCTGGCAGGGCTGCCGCCTCATCTGCCGGGTCTCCAGTAGCCACTGTCATAATGGAGACTGAGAGAAGCACCTCCCACTATGCTTTCCAGCTGCCTGGCGGCAGGGAGCTCAGGGTGCTGCTAAAGGCCCCAGGAAATGTAGAAGCATTGGCCCGGGCTCGGGTGACAGAGCCCCCAGTAACCACAGATACAGCCTCGCTGCATTGAAAGACAGGCAGAATCAGTGTGTGCAACCACTTGACCAACAGCCCCACCCCTGGGCTGCCACTTCGTCCCTCCCAACGCCCCCAAGCCAACAGCTGGTGACAGGGAGCGCCACATGCATGGCTGAAAGGTGAGCCTGACTTTCATAAGGCTCAGGATAAGGAGGGCTTGGGCTGCGCTCTCTGACCCTTTAATTCAAGTTTGCAGCCAGATCAGAGGAGAACAGAGGCAGGGAGAGCCTCAAGGAAGTTCTAGAATGCCCTGCATGGACCCCTGTGCACTGCACGGGCTTTATGGAGAAACCTGAGAGTTAGAGGGAGTCCTCCCCCAGAACATCAATGATACCTGTGCCTGCCTGGGAGGCAGGGGTGGGGGGTCACAGCTAGGACCTTGGGCCTCTCTCTCTGCCACACCCCAGCCACCATGCATGTGGCTTTTACTGAACGACAGGGTGATTTACCTGGCCAGGCGGGGTTGGGAAGAGCCTTCTTCCTCTTCCTCACAGGGCTGCTCCGCTGCCGCAGGAGTCCTAGATGCTCGGACTGGCGGCCTGACGCCCCATCACGTCTTCACACTCTAGAAATAGTGGTGAGTCATTCTGGGCAGGAGGGCAGGCTGCGGGTCCCGGAGGTGAGCTCCAGAGCTGCGCCAGGCGGCCGGGGCAGCGAGCGGGGATGCCTGGTCAGGGGCGCAGAGCAGGGCTTGACAGTCGGGCTGGGCTGGGAAACCTTTGAAGGAAGCAAGCAAGATGCACAGCTCAGCAAAAGCTGGAGACCTTCTGGTGTCCTGGGGAGGGCGGGGGTGTGGAGAAATCAGCAACAAGGGGGAATCGTAGCTTTAGGTACCAAGATTAGGGGGTCTCAGCCCTTCCCTGCCATCCTCACCTTCCTTCTGATGTCACACCTGAGTCCTAGCCCTCCCACCCCTCTCCTGGCCTCCTTGGGGCAGGCAGCTGCCCACCAACAGCCTTTTCTCCCAGCAAACAAGACTGGAGGCTTAGCTGGGCCTGTCTCCTCTGGGGGAGTCCCTGGGCTGAGCCGGTTGCCCCGCTGGTCCTCAGCAGCCAGGAGCACAGGCTATATCCGTACCCCAGTCCAGGAGCTCCCCCTCGACCCCCCACCCCGTGCCTTCTCAGGGCTGGGCTTCCTTCCCGCGGGGTTGGGGGGTGGTGTGCGGGCTCCATCGGGGTCCAGGAGGAAACCGACCCTCCCTTTCCAGCACACACGCCTTTGAGGGTGGGGGGTCACCTAGGAAGAACCCTCCTACCCGGAGATTGAAGTTGCCAAAGCCGGCGGCCTGGGTCCCCGGACTCATTTGCTCTCGGGGTCCCTGGGCCGCCTCCCCGAGATGCAGGAGGCGTTTGAACGGGGCAGGAGCTCCATCACCCATTTCTCCCCAACAGAGAATCGCTCGAGCGCCCAACAAATGCTCCGCCGGCAAGCCGCGAGGCTGCGGGGCGACCCGGGCACAGGGAGCCCGCAGGACGCGGTGGGTTAAGGACTCCCCCGCGCCGGGCCCAGTCCCGCAGCCTGGATCCGGGGGGCTGCGGGGTCTGCGCCCCCCACCCCTGCGCCCCGTCTCCGGGGTTCCGGCCGGGATTCCTCCCCGCGCGCCGCCGCCAGCGCCGCCTTAACCCGCTCCTGCCCGGCCCGGGGGGCTCCCGCGGCGGGCGCAACGCCGAGGTCCGCGCCGGGCACGCGCGAGGCTGCCCGAGTCCAGCGGAACGCGAACGCCCAGGTGCGGTGGGGAACTCGCCGCGCCCCCCGGGGCCCGGCTGCCCGCTCGGCGCGGGGGTCCCGAGGGCGCGGTCCAGCCGCGGGCCCGGCGAGCAGCCGCCCCTTCTCCGCGCGCCGCGCCGGGGGTCCCGGCCCTGCCCGCGCGCCGCCTCCCCGCGCCCCCCGCGCGTTTACCCTCGCGGGCCGCTCCCCGGAGCCTCCATGCCGCTGCGGGCCGCAGGCGGCGGCGGGTGCGGGCGGCCAGCCGGGCGCCGGCTCTGCAGTCCCGCGGGCGGCGCGTACGGAGCGCCCCGGCCGCCGCCCGCCCGCAGCCGCACCGCGCCGCACCGCGCCACGCAGCGCCGCACCTGGCCCGGCCGCGCACTCGGATTCAAGGGGCCGGAGGGGGCGGCCCGAGCCGGCGCCGCGCCCCAGCCCGCCCGCAGAGCGGCCCGCGCGTTTGGCAGGCAGCGCCCGGCGTCGCGGAGCGGCGCGTCGTGGAGGGGGCTCCGCGGGACGCTCCCCGGGGCCAGGGGGGGCGGGGCGGGCGCGGGGATGCCGGTGGGCGCCGGGGGGCAGAAGTGGAGGAGCGCGCGCAAGGCGAGGCTCGCGACGACGGCCGAGGCGGGCACGGAGGGCAGAGCGATAGGCGCTCTCCCAGCCCTAAGCAGTCACCGGTCCCGCGGGAAGCGGCTGCCCTTATGCCCAGCCTCCCAGGCTTCAATCTGCAGACCCTCCCCTGGCCGGGGCCCCCTCCTCCTGCCCGCCTCCCCGCCGCCTGCTTACCCGCCCGGCGTGGCTCTGGCAGGGGAATGCAGCAGGTGAGGGGCCGCGCGGTGGCAGAAATTCGCCACTGCCCGCGGGAGCTGCTGCAGAAACAGGCCAAACTGCAGAGCCGGCCCTGGCGACTCCCTTCCCCCAGGGGCCAGGACAGCCGAGGGCGCTCCGCGCAAACCGGTCCCTAACCCCTGCCTGAGCCGGCTGGCATGGGGGCGTCCAGACTCTGGGGTGCGCCCTGGAGTGAGCAGAGGAGGGAGTTCCCTTTTGTTTGGGGGGGAATGTGTGTGGGAAGACCAGTCCGGATTGCAGAGGGGGGCCTGGGGGCGACCCCCCCCACGCCCCCCATGAGCGCCTCAGGGCCCACGTGCCGCTCCTGTTCTGGCATCCCTCGGCCACTGTTCCAGGCTTGCCCCCCCCCCCCCCCCCCTTGATCTGAATCCAGACAGGGAAACCATCTCTGACTCTCCCCTCTGGGCTGGCCTTGCCCCAGTTGTCATAAAGGATTGTTTGGGGGCATGCCCAGGAGCTGCATGGGGTGTGTGTGAGGGGTGGTGGGGGTCTTGGAAGGCAGTGTCCTAGGTGGTGTCCAGAGGTGACAGTGGCTCCAAGGCCTGCTGGTTGAGGCTTAGGGCCTGGGGCTGTGTGAGTCCCACACAACACAGCCTCGGTGTTTTTGATGGGCCAGACTGACAATTCCCTGCAGCTACTAGACAGACCAGCCAGTGATTCCTGACTCAGTGTCATCTGTGAGATCGGCTAGCTCTGGGCTAGAATGATGCTTACGTTTTAGGGATACAGAGTTTAGCTCCCAGCAAACACTCCAGGAAAGATGAGGTCTCCCTGGGTACCCCCAGGAAAGCCCTTCTCACTCCCAGCTCCTGCATCTGGTCACCCATCACCCATCACCCTCTCTCTGCTCTGGGCTGCCCAATCTTTCACTTTCCTTGAGCTTCCTTCCAGTCCCACCTCCTTCACCAAACTCTCCTCCTTCTGTATCCTAGAACAACTTTGCCTCTGCAGCCAGCAGTTCTGTCTCTCCTCTGGGCACCCTGGGTCCTTATGTCAGTTAAACACCAAATGCCGTCTCCGTAGTACCCTATTTATATGCTACCTTTGCCCACTCTTTGTTCGAACAAGCCATGGCTCTAGAGGGAGAATTTGTAATCATGCTCGTTGGTGATAAATCTGGCCACCACGCATCAGACACTGAGCTAAGCACCCCAGGGGGCCACTAGGATCCTCACAGTTCCAGGAGGAACTTCACCTGACCTCTTATCTTCATCTTACATGGAAAAGGAAACTGAAGCCCAGTGTGGCACAGTCACCTGTCGGAGGTCACTTTAGTGGTGGCACAGGGATCTGCTTCACAGCTCCCCCCCCCCCCCCATCTTATGCATGGCTCAGGACAAATGAGCAGCCCCTCATTTGGCACCCCCTTCTGATCCTTGCTGTGATTCCTGACTGACATATGCTAGTCGGCCTCCTCCCCTTACAGAGATGGCTCTAAATGGGAACATACCCCTCCAATAAATTAAAGAAGGAGAGACGAGGAGAGAAGCCTGGCAGGGGCTGATGGGGAGCACCGGGCTTGGCGCCCGCCCTGAAGGTGTCCCTGGCTTCAGCAGCATCGTGGGAGGGAAGAACATGGGCCGGGTTCCGAGCTTCCACACTTGCTAGTTGTGTGAATGTGAGTTATTTAAACTCCCAGAGTCTGTTTCCTAATTTGTCGAGTGGGACAGAAAGATTGCTTCCCAGGGCGGTGAGGATTAAATGAGTTACAGAGAGAAAACCGCCAGCCAGCTGAACCTAGTCGTGTCGCCGCGAGCTCCCTTTCCAGCCCTAACGCACTCACCATTTCTTAGTCTGAGTCCCCCAAATAGGAGGGTACCTGATCTCTTTCCTGGGTCAGGTTAGCCCCCTAAGACCATTTCCTTCTTCAGTTTGCTGCTCTGCTTGGGGCTCAGGCCTGGCCTTCCACAGAGAAGCAGGAGGGTGCCAGGGTGGTGGGGGGTCTGTCCCAATGTGGAAAGCATGGGGTCCTGCAGGCCATGCTCCGGCCATGGGAAGGAGGAGGTGACAATGAAACTCCAAGGCTGCCCTGCCAACTCAGGGAAGGTCAAGGAAGGACTATCTCTAGTTCTTGCCATCACCTTTATTTTGGGGGTAGGTGGGTGGGCTACACCTAGCTGATTGCGGGGTTTACTTCTAGTTCTGTGCCTAGGGATCACTCCTGGTGGTGCTCAGGGGCCCCTATGTGGTGCCAAGAGATTCAAACCTCAGTTGGCTATGTGCAAGGCAAGGGCCTTGAGCCCTGTAACTATTTTTCTGCCCACTTCCAGCACCTCTTATTAGCATTGG